ACCCATTATATCCATACTGGCTGCCATCCTGACCCATTATATCTACACTGTCTGCCATCCTGACCCATTATATCCACACTGGCTGCCATCCTGACCCATTATATCCACACTGGCTGCCATCCTGACCCATTATATCCACTCTGGCTGCCATCCTGGCCCATTATATCCACTCTGGCTGCCATCCTGACCCATTATATCCACTCTGGCTGCCATCCTGGCCCATTATATCCACTCTGGCTGCCATCCTGACCCATTATATCCACACTGTCTGCCATCCTGACCCATTATGTACACACTGGCTGCCATCCTGGCCCATTATATCCACACTGGCTGCCATCCTGACCCATTACATCCACACTGGCTGCCATTCTGGCCCATTATGTACACACTGGCTGTCATCCTGCATTATTCGGATTCACATCCACAATTCAGCTCAAAATTTTGGTGCACAGATTACCTTATCAGTACATCTGGGTAACTGTACTGTATTTGCTCTATTGCATTGCTAATACAAGCCATATACACCAAATATTGCATCTGTATATACTGGATTATTAAAATTTAACTTATTTTATGATTTATGTAAGTATGTATGTCATTAATAAAGTAAATACTACCGGTAGTGCATGACATCGACTGTAAACCGGTTAATTTTCACTGCTAGAAATGTTCAAAATATCAGGATATTATGGCATTCAGAAAAACAAAATGACACTTCATATCGTAGGCCCCCAGATAAATTTTCATGAAATTTGCTTAATGAAAGTGGCTTACAGTATTTCATGTGTGTTTATTTTCAGGTTTTTGGGGTTCAATATCACATATCAGAGTCAACTACAAAGAATACAGTCTGAGGAATGCTTTTGGGTGGCAGGGACCGGGCATTGCTTACGAATCAGAGAATGTTGGTGAGGAACCAACAGGTGAGTTAAGGGGTATTCTGAGTTAAATGTGTCACAATTGAGAGTATCAGAAATGTCTTTGCCAAGTACAGAACACAAAGTCATTGTCGCCTGTAACATTACATGCATTTGGTCTAAATAAAATATAGGAAAATACATGAAAAATGTTGTTCAAAGGTTTATAACACATTCAGACAAATAAATTTTGGAATGCACAGTTTGTCTGTTAGAATTAAAATTGTAACCAATTTAAAAATGATGTTCAACAATTTAAATTGGATCCTTAATTTAATGGGTGTGTCAATTTAAGTCACGTTTCATAGTACATATTTACTGATCTGTATTAATCTTTTATTTTCTCTTTTTTTTTTATCAGAGATAGAATCTATACTGCCCTACTTCACTGGAAATGAACACACGATTGTTCCGTATCATACGTCGACCAATTCATCCATTTTTCAGATCAGTATAATCATGCGCACAGACAAACCAGATGGTATAATTATGCATAATAAAGGACATGCTCCTGGTTCGTTTATCACGCTAAATCTCAGAAACAAAAATTTACTATTTTTTGTGAGGGCAGGAGAAAACATTATTTCAACACAAGTCAGTGAATTTCAGGTTAGTTTATTTACTATTTATTTATTTATCTGTTATACAGCCATATTCAGCCAATCAGGAAGGGATGAAATGTTGTCATATGTACATATACAAAAACTATTGGCAGTTATTGCATCGCGTACATTAAAATCAGCATGTTTACATGCATTGCTTACATCATGGGACCCAGTGTTGGACATGTTATGACACAAGGTTAGTTACTTTTTAAACTACTATTAAAAAAATATGCAAATAAAAACCAAGGATTTATTTTCTTTTTCTTGGCAGCTGGAGAAGTGGTATCTCATAACTCTGACTGTAGAAAGAGGATACTGCGAAGTACGCATTAATCACGGCCCTGCTACCCAGATCAGTATGCAGGGCATCCCTTATCAACCATTGGATGAAATCTACATTGCAGGTGTGAGCATTCCAGACAAGTTCATATTACAGATGTTAACACACAACACCTTGGGATTAGTTGGAATGGTATATAAAGTCACTGTAAACGATGTGGAATATCAGATGAGTGATACGGTGCTAGAAAAAAATGACCGATACCTGAATTCTGCTTCTACAACATTGGCAGGTTAGTTGTAATTAACTTTCATTATTCAGCACCACCAGCTGGAATCAGTTTTTATTTCGGTGGAAATTAACATCTGGTAATATATACACAAAACCAAATTCTGTAAAGAGGTATACTTTATGGTTGCCTTGTAAGTAAAATATTGTATTACTAGTATTTTGTGTATGGTTGCTTAGTAACTATTGTGTATTGGTTTGACAGCACACTATCAAGAGGAATACACTGAGCGATCCAGTAGCATTCAACTAAAATGTGATTATGGCACATTTATGAACGGACGGCCGACAAATGTCACTGTGAAATGGTTGAAAGAAAGTAAACTACTAGAAATCGGTGATCATATTAAATTAGTACCAAAGGTAAATATACGTCAGGTTTCATCTACCACTTTTCAACACTTGTCGACTTCACAGTTTGCAGATACATGTAGGTATTAATTAACGCATATTGATAACAAGTGTTAGACCAAAATTAGTGTTGGAATTAAATTATTAAAAGTATTTCTGATATTAATATAGTTATGATGCATTTTCACAGATGTTTTTAGACAAGTACACATCTAGTCTACATCTACATGAAATGGAAAGGGACAAAGAAGGAATGTATGCCTGTCAAATACATTACCACGGCAAAGCCATAATAACACACGCATTTGGAATAACAATGTATAACCCACAACGTAAGTACCAAACTATTGTGACTTGTAATGAATGATAAGGAAAATTGGTAGACAACCAGACTTTGAAATTGTTTACTAATTTGTATAAATATATCAATAGAAAAAGAAAAATAACTTTGAACATACAAAAAATAAAACACCAGTTAGTATAATGTAAATGTTTCAGCTGGTCATATATTAGGAGTACACCTGTATCACCATGACAACGTTACAATAATTATCAGCATAATTCATAGATTGCATCGATAATGTGCAGAATTGGACTTTCAGTCATGTGCTTATTATTAATCTTCACACAGCTACTCTGTACTATTTGTAAGTTACTTTGCTTTAAATTATTAGAAGCATATCTACGATTGCGATAACATGTATAGTATAAAGGACACACTAATACATGCTAATCTGTTCACCAGGCCACTTTTATGTAACAATTATTTGCTTCTAATAGGGCAAATACAGTATTTTGAAGAATATAAAAAAATACGTAAATTTTATATAAATTATTGATCCTGACATTGCATTACAGGAGTGTGGTTACAAGGAGACGCTGTGGTTGGATTTATCATAATATTAGTATTTTTGTTCTTTGCTGTAACCGTGGCGATGGTTATCATATTATCTGCCTTTGAATGTATCAGACACAGGTATTTACTTTCATTTTTTTTCTGAAATTTAACATTTTTAAAATTTGAGAAGGGGTTAACTTGTAATCTGTATGTCCTCTCTTGATCTCTGTAATCCTTATACACATTGATTTTTACTGCCTTAACCACTTTTTGACCACTTAAAAGGCAAATGTTTAGGTTTTCTCGATTTTATTATAAGTTTGGTTCAAATCCTACAATGGTGAGACGCCATAGTTTGGATGATACAAGCAACCTTATGGTCAAAAAAACTCCACTGCTAAGTCAAGCAACGCATACCCATAAAACAAAATGCAGTTAACCCACTGAAAAGTAGGTTGGGTCTCGCTGTTAAGAACATGCCAATCTCACTACATCAAACGAATTGCTGACAAAAATAAAAGAATTGATGATATTGACATGAAATGAACAAATCTGGTACCTACATAAAACATATCAAAAGTTTAAGTTTTCAAGGAGAAATTGATTTTTATTGGCACTGATAAAATATCTTCTATGTCTAAGGGTGATTAGGGGCTGGATTAATCAGAAAATATTCTCTGCAACCTCATTTGAATACATAGCCTTCCTGCGACACCAACATTCAAATTTATTACACAGAGGTTTAGGATGTTTCCATAGCAACTATGAATAATTAATCTAAGTGCTTTTATTATATTTTTCATTACTAATTATAATTGTTTTTATTGCAGGTCACGATATCTTGAACCTCTTTATTATGCAGTTATAAATTTTATTGAATTTGGTAACTTTCATAGCGATATTCGCACCAAAGCGAAAATAAAGAAAATCGATGCAACATTCACTGAAGATTTCTCGATCGAAGAAGCCATGAAAAAAGAGAGAGAGAGAAATATAACAAATGTGCCACAAAGTAAACCGAAGAAAAAGAGGATACTGAGAATGCCAAAAATACCCAAAATTACAACAATGCTTTCCTCATTAACAAAACCAGCTGAGAAAAAAGAAGTCTGGATACTGAGAAAGCCAAGCACATCACTGAGTGAAATAGATATTGCGAAACGAAAACTGTCTCACACACTATTATCAGGGAAACCAGTCAGCTCTAGTGATGAGGAAGATGAAATTTTCGATTTAAAAAAGACTACTGATTCGCAACACCAAAGCGCCACAAATCGAATGTTCGGACGACGCAAGTCTACATCACCTGCAGCTAATCTCCTAACAACAGCAATTGTCAAGCAAGAAGACATGGATCTTAGTGATGTAGCAGAGAATGAGGACTAGACAATTTTGTGATTTTTTTTTCCATAGTGAAGTCTTTCTTAATTTTAAATTGTTGTTGTCATATTCATTAAATAAATGAAAGGTATAAGGAGGTGATCTAAAACCATCTCATGTGGTAATGTGTGCAAAGAGGTGATCTAAAACCATCCCAAGTGGCAATGTGTACAAGTAGGTGATCTAAAACCATCCCAAGTGGCAATGTATACAAGTAGGTGATCTGAAACCATCCCAGGTGGCAATGTGTACAAGTAGGCAATCTAAAACCATCCCAGTTGGCAATGTATACGAATAGGTGATCTAAAACCATCCCAGGTGGCAATGTGTACGAATAGGTGATCTAAAACCATCCCAGGTGGCAATGTGTACGAATAGGTGATCTAAAACCATCCCAGGTGGCAATGTATACAAGTAGGTGATCTAAAACCATCCCAAGTGGCAATGTATACAAGTAGGTGATCTAAAACCATCCCAAGTGGCAATGTATACAAGTAGGTGATCTAAAACCATCCCAGGTGGCAATGTATACAAGTAGGTGATCTAAAACC